TGACAAAATACTCTGTACACATAGGATGTACGTCACACAGAGGTTCCATCTGTCCCAGCGCACCGAAGATCAACAGAGCTGACCCTCAGCAAAGGTGCCCAACTACACAGTTCACCACTAATTCTATCTCCCTCTTCCTTTATGTTTCCCTCCTGTCCTCTCGACCTTGGAAGTGGGACTCACAACCTAGTTTGTAGGGCCCGGTGCAAAATGAAAACATAGGCTCCCTGTTCCAAAATTATTAAGAATTTCAAAATATCCTAGGACAGCAGAGCATTTCGTTTCATATGGGGCTCCTTCACTTGTCATGCTGGGAGGCTGGACTCCTGTCCACAGGCAGAATCCAAGGCTAGTCCACTTTCTCTCCCTCCATCACCACAGGAAGAATTCCTGCTTCAAAGTGCAGCTTCATACCATTTATTTGTATTTAAGCCTCTTATCTATGATTTCAGGATAAAAAGCATTTGTCCCTCCTTAAAGGACCTTAAAGCATCCGCAAGCAAATGAGGGTATCTGAGGTAGGAAGTGGGACAGACAGGATTGGGTGAGTGACAGAGGAACCCAGTGTCACGTAGGACTGCTCAAAACTTAAAAGTGAGCCAGCATGGTCTCTCCAGTGCACAGTGAGGTGACAGACAGTCAGAAGGGCTGTCCTAAGTTCTAACACCCTCACTGCCCTAGAGATGCTGGCTGAGAACCAAGGCCCAACTCAGCTCCTGAAGCCCTCCTGCTGTCCAGTCTGCCAGCACATCTCCCCACACCCCAAACACAGGTTAGATGCCCCACTGTGCAGAATCTCCCTCCCACTACACCCTAACTCTTCTTCTTTCTGCACCAAGACCTCCTGATGCCCCCCAAAAGGCCCAGAAATGCATCTGAATGCCTGCCTTTACCTTTTTAAGTTTATTTAGGGGCACCTGGGTGCCTCAGTCAATTGGGTGTCCGACTCTTGGTTTTGGCTCAGGTTGTGATCTCACAGTCGGTGAGTTTGAGCCCTGCGTTGGGCTCTGTGCTGACAGCACAGAGCCTGCTTGGGATTCTCTCTCTCCCTCTCCCTCTCTTTTTGCCCCTTTCCCACTTGCTCCCCACCCAATGTAAACTTTAAAAAAAAGTTTACTTATTTATTTTGAGAGAGAGAAAAAGCATGCCTGTCCTACCTTTTCAACCCCAAGTCACAAAGTTGCTGACAAAGAAGCATATCACCAAAATGCATGCAGAGGAAAAAGCCCACTTCCTGTCCTCACAGCCCCAAGCACCTGGCTCTCCAAGTACCCAGGACTTGGAAATGGATTTGACTTGTCCAAAACAGCTTTAGCAAAGTGGTCACAGGGTATCCCTTAGAGCTTATAGTGAGACACAAACAATGGAAGTCAAAAACTCAGCATCTTCACTCTTTGCCTTAGCTTCCCAGAAGGCACGAGGGGTTGGCTGTTGAGCACAGGAAGTTGGGATTTACTGTACAGGCAGCTACTAAGGTTTTATAGCAATTTCTATATCCCTTGATTTAAATGCATCTTAAGGTGCCCTCAAAATTTTCACCTTCTTGCAGATCACGGCTTGTGGCTCCACCTCACCACAAATCTGACCCTGCTCTTGCTACCACCAACCCTGCAAAAGCTGGCAGAGAGTGACAGAAGAGCCACCCATGGAGACAGTAGACACGACTGCCTCACACAGACTCACATTCTCAGAAGTTTGGATTATAAAAGAGGAATAATTTGGAAAGCTAAATTGTTTTATGGAACCATGTCAAATTTATATCCAAAAGTTCTACTTAAAAATATGAAGTCAAAGCCAAAAGTTATGCCACTAAGACTTAAATAGGAGTCTGGATATCCTATAGTGAAGGAATAACTAAGCCACAAACAAAAAAAAATTCTGTTCACTTGAGGAGATAAACATTTAGGCATCCTAAGGCACAGGATTTGATCACATTTTTCTACTTCTCTTCCCAGATAGTTACAAAAAAAATCCATGCTATTATGTGAGAAGCCAATGCGATAATCAATGCCAACAAAATGTCTAGGGAAAGGGAGAGGAGGCACATGCTGTTCTCTCTGTGTTTTAGAGACAGAAAATAATTACATCGATATCGATCATAGACAGTCACCAATGTGGTATTCTCCGTCTGCAAGCTTCACAGCACCCTAGAAGGTGGCCACGGTCAGGTCAGACCTGATAACTAATCTATCTTAATTCCTTCTTTCAGAGACAAGGTTCCCAAAGGGTCAGTGTTGTGTCCTCATCATCTCGGAGAGTGGATGTTAGAGTACCCTCCAGGGACAGTTGTTTGGCAAAGCTGAGAAGAAAAGAAGTTGAAGCAGTGCTTTGCGTGTTGCAGAAGGTTGGGACTGGGTAGGGCCTTGGAGGACACTAAGCCAAGTCTCTTCGGAGAGAGGAGGAAACCGAGTCTTAAGGGGCTTGAGTATATTGGTCAAAGTCACACAGCTCCCCGTGCTCATGTCACCATGCTACCTGCCTCATAGGTAGCTTTAAGCTTTGCCTAACTATTATCATCTGGAAGCATTCATGTGTTTTTATTATTATTTCTTTAAACACAAAGAATCCCCATTCTCGTTCTGGGTTCAGCAGATCAGTTACCTTTGTTTAGAACTGAGTGTGGGAGACCTAAAATTTTCCCATTGACTTTTACTAAATCACTCTTACTTCTGGACTACTGATACCCCAAACACAAAATCAATCTCTCTACGGTTATATTTAGAAACCCAAATAAGTTACTTCAAAGACCTATTTCACCCTTATAAGGTCTCATCACTTGTTCTAACTCATAGAAAACAGATTTCAAATCAGACCTTTTCCATTGTCTTCTTTCCCCTTGACTGTGTGTAGATCAAAAAATCAGGAACCAGGATTACAAAGGTCCTCAAATGTAATCCAGTCCAGCCACAACTCTGATCCTAGAATCATGAATTATAACCTCCTGACCAAGGGGCCATCCAGTTGGTGACCAAATTCTCACAGTAACAGGATTCCCACTTTGCTCTGGAACATCACTATTTGAAAGTTGCTCCATATGTAGACTTTGACTCGACCTTCCTGAAGCTTCCTCGGACTAGTGGATTTTTTCAAACTACCCTATTTCCTCAGAATACAAAAGATTGCCACCACAATCTTTTGTGGTAAGAACAAAAAAAAATGAAATAAATTGTACTTATGACAGTTAAATATGTATAAATGTATCTAAAGTGTGTGTCTATTCACTCATCCTAAGAAAACAGCCCACTAGACTTTCACCAAATCTGGAAGGTATGTGTGGGTTGATCTGCCTTAAAACACAGGCTGTGTGCTGCACATGCGAGCAACACTGGGTAGCTAGGATAACAGTGTCTCCAACAGAAAGTCAGCCATATCTCAATGCAAATAAATTCAGGGGTAGGGGGCCTATGTCACTGCTGACTGAGAATAACAGGCCTTGTGTATCAAGACACTGTACACAGAAAAGCAGAGGTTTCAAATATGAATGTATATGAAAAATCACAAGGGCCAACATTCCAAATGGCAGGCATTAACTTATAACCAAGTTCTTTTGAAAGTGCTTTGTATGTGGGAAGCTCTTGTGGCATTCTCCAGGGCGAGTGGCAACCAGGATTTGCTTTTTAAGGATGTTTATGACTTTCCCTGGGGGTCCACCAGTAAGATATTGTATGTGGAAACATTTCATAAACTTCAAAGCGCTATAAAATGTGCTGCTACGACATCATGATATTTTGAATTCTTACTGAGTGCCCAGCATGTGCTTGTACTTGCTAGCTGCCAAATGTGCTAGGTATTTTTCATACCTCATATAAATGAGTAACAACAAAAACATCCTGATGACCAAAAAGCTTGATCTTGTACAAGATTTCTTTACCTGGCTCTAGGTATATGAAAATGATTACCAAAATTACATGAGTTTATGGTTCACATATAAAGTGGGAAAAAATCATAAGATGGGGAAGTGTCCAAAGAGAACAGGCATACATAGCAGTGAGAGCCATTTTGATATGACTAAACAGACTCTGTCTTGCTTGCAGGCAATGAGAGGGTCGTTATTGGGAATAAGGTAATAGTGGACACGGCCACACGTCTGAGAAGTTGAAGTAGATTCTCTCCAGAAACAGGAGGGAGAGGTGGATGCCCTCGGAAGTTACTTCCTCTCCCAAATTATTAGTTGATTTTTGCCCCAGTAACAGTGGAAAAGTTGGCAAGAAGATACTAATGAAACTTCCAAGAAACTAGACAAGGCCAATTTCTCCTCCAAGTAGACACAATCACACACAAACTAATATTTGGCTGTTCTGTGCCCATGAAAAAAAAGCTAAGCCATTCATGTCACTAGTTTTCATGTGCTGTGACTGTACAATATAAGCTAGTGGTTAAGGATGGGGACTCTGGAATCAGACTTCCCAGGCTCAAATCCTGGCTAACGGCACAACCTTGGGCGATTTACTTAATTAATCTGAACTCAATCTTCATCCCTCCACATAGGGTCATTAAGAAGAAAAAGTGAATTAATAAATATAAAGTTCCCAGAACAGTGTCTGGCAAATGTTAAGTGCTATAGACCACGTGTTTGCAGTTCTGTTCATGGGCCTGATACCCAGGCCAGATCTCCAGGAGAAGGGCCCAGGGAACAGATCAATTAAAACTGCCTATCATCCTCTGTTTGGGTTTCAATATTTTTTCTATTTCTTTTTCTTCCTTCCTTCCTTCCTTCCTTCCTTCCTTCCTTCCTTCCTTCCTAATGAACACAAGAACTCCCTTCTTCTGCCAGGGAACAACGAACCTGTCCACTCAATAAACATGGTTTTCATGAGAAAGTAAGTAAAACAGCTGTCTCTGAGAAATACAAACCCACACTATGTGCCTTTGCTGTGGCTCACCCTCTGCCAGTCATTGCCAAAGCCAGACGCCCGCTTCCCGCTATGGTGACCCGCCTGGGTACCTGGACCCAGATGCCCTTCCTTCTCCTTCCCACCCCAATCCACAAACTTGCCAACCTTCTATGAAATCCGAGGCCGAGTAGGGGCGCCGACTGGGGCTGCCGTCCGCAGGGCCGTTCAGGGTCTCCACGGCCGATTCAATGGCTTCCACCAGTTCATCCCGCTTGTCTTTCCTCACGGGTTTCTCTTCGGGGTGGCGGGTCAGGCCCGTCTCCAGCTGGTACACCTTCTGCAGAGTGAAGCTATCGAAAGGCACAGCAGCATACTCGGTGGCCAGCTTGACGCCGGTGTGCACCTCCGCCTTGTCCACCTGGGAGTGCAGGAAGGCCAGAAGGTCCGCCTGCGTTTTCTCTGGGGGGCCCTGATCCAGCCCCAGGCCCACAGCGTCGCTGGGGTGATTCTGCGCATTCTTGAGCCGCTCGCTCCTCTCCTGCAGCTCCTCCTTGAGCTGCGCAATCTGCCTCTTGAGACTGCTGATGTAGTTGCGATGCTGTTCCTCCCACTCCTGCAGCGCGGCTTGGTACCCCTCCTTGCCCGTGGGGCCGTTAGCCCTGGGCAGCCCCAGCTGCTCCTCGTCGCCCTTCGGAGTGCAGGCCAGCATGTAGAGGACGGAGACGGCGCAGCAGAGCAGCACCAGCAAAAGCACTACTCGAGACACCCACGCAAGCAACCCCCGGCGAACCATCATCACTCAGGAATTGGCCATGCGTCCAGACCTGGCGACATTCCAGAATGCCAGGGCGCCTCAGAAGGGCTTCCCTGGACTAGACTGCAGGGAGCGTGTGTCTGGAGCCCCCAAGCTGCTTTCATCCATTTCTTTCTACAATGTGTCTGGTCCCTTGAAGTCAGCCACCGCGTGGAGCACTTTTCCTATTTCTAAAGGATGATCTTCCAGGCCGGAGCAACGAGTTAGGTGAGACCTCCAGCTTTTCACACTCATTCCCATCATAGTCTCCCAGACGTGCAGCAGACCACAATAGGGGACCTGGGAAGAGACCAAATGACAATAACTCTTAAAAGACAGTAACGTCTTTATGCTCTCTGTGGCAATCAACATTCAATAGACTTCCCATGAGGTTTACAGAAAATGTTTATGCCAGGGGATTAAATATTGTTAAATGTTTCTAAATCAGAATACAAACATTCATTTGTAGATGAGTGCACATAAAAAACAAAAGATGCAGGAAAAAGACTGGAAGGAAATATGGCAAAATGTGAATTCCCTCTGAGTGAAAGCATTAATGGTGATTTTCCTTGCTTCTCTAGATTTTTCTGTATCTTAGAAATTTCCCGCAGTGGCACATATTATTTTGATGGCTAAAAGGGGAAAAGCTAGGGGCGACTGGGTGGCTCAGTCGGTTGAGCAACCAACTTCAGCTCAGGTCATGATCTCAAGGTTAATGAGTTCCAGCCCACATCGGGCTTTGGGCTTTGTACTGACTGCTCAGAGACTGGAGCCTACTTCGGATTCTGTGTCTCCCCCTCTCTCTGTTCCTCCCCTGCTCAGACTCCATCTCTCTCTCTCTCAAAATTAAATAAAGATTACAAAATAAGAATAATAAAAAAATAAAATGGTAAAAGCGAAACTTTAATGAAACTGAAATTGCAGGCAGGGCCTTCTCCATCCAGGGCCCGCCCAGCACTGATGGATGCAAAAGGTGAGCCTACATGCTCTCACCTGTGTGCACTCATTCTTGGCAGGGCTGAAAGCTGACAAAATGGTCTTCAAACTCCCCAATGAGGAGGTGGGGAAGAACCTGGAGCTTGAAATATGCAAATAGTAAATGTGGATGATAACATATTAAGATGGAATCTGGGGACCATTGTTCCAGCGAACTCTCCAATCATGCTTGCAGACAGGGGATGATAAGTTTACCATAGAAAGGGATAAGGTTGGGAGAACAGAGACCAGAAATACCTGTCTTGTTAGGACTCAAATCCCAGGCATGTCTCTGCTCCAGCCCCTAGAAGGAATTCTGTGTCCTGACTGATCATCAAGAATACCCAGACAGATTACAGAGCCTTCCATTTGAATACATGCTCTGCATCTCAACTCCAAACCATTTGTAACAAACGAGAAGCCAACCTAACTTGCCTTCTCCATTTCCCCCAGGCTCCCTTCCTTCCTCCTCCACCCATTGTGGACACCCCAGAGCACACTGCTTCAATGTTCTCCCTTCCTCCTCAAGCCCCTTTGCTCATCTCCCCCTACCCATCTCTCTGAGCCAGAAAACAGAGAGAAATAATGGTAACTGGAAAATAGATCAAATAAACTTTCTGTCTTAGGGAGATTTTTATAAAATCTTCTCAGGTGCATCTTTTTATATAACTTATCTTAAAAGCAAGCTCCCTGAGGGTACTATGTCCTGGCCATTTTATAAAAATTTGACATTTTAAATAATTCCCACAATGACAAAATTATTCTTTAGAGAGTCTTCATCCAACCCAGAAAATCCAGATTCTGAGTCAATAATCATCTAATTTACTGGTGGTCTGTCCAGCATTCTCTCGATGCTGACAATATAGTAAACAATAACAGCCTCATTAACTTTATCTGATATTCACCTGCTATGTCTCTTGCACAAAGAGAATTCTTCTTCTATTACGCTTGTGATGTGCCTCTTACATGTACCATTATGTTACCAAAATAGTTTGTTTCTCAATTTTCCTTAAAAATTCAATTCCAATATTCCCCTTGGCCCAAGGAGTCTCTCTCCTATAATTTATAACAATACACAGTTATTAGTGCTAAGTTTAAAGTGCATGTTTAGCCCGGGAAGCCTTTTCTGTCTGATGAAAATCTTGGGATTTGTATAATTACTATAATTCTGTGATTAAAAACATCTCAGCTTTGGTATTCAGGCACCTTGCTGTTTTTAATGAAATCTCTCAGATGAACTCATTATATCCAAGTATCAAATTACGAGTGAAGACATGTTATCACGTTTTTCTACCATTTTAAAGACTTTTACTTTAAATGGGTGTCATTAAAGACAAAATAAGCAAATCAAAAAACAAAAATGAGACATTCAACATTACTTATTGTGCCACGGAAGCAAAGTGGGCCATCTTTCTAACAGATTTTTTTAATGGAATAATTGCTACATTTGCATAATAAATTGAAATCATTTGCTTAACGAAGCAATATATTAAAGCTATGGCTAAAGAAATTTAAAACTGTACAATAATTACTTTGTTCGGTTCTGTAAAGCTTTTTGAAGTCCAGCCCAGCTTTTGAATTTCACTGGTGTAAATTCCAAGGTTATTTGAAATTCCACTCTTCAAGATGTAAAAGGACAAAAAAACAGATCCTAGGAAGAAATAACTCTTGAAAAGAAATAACAAAAAGCCATAAAAATTACTGCCAAAGAAGAAGTGATGAATTTTTCCTTTTAAATGTCAGGAGCAGATATTACATGTCAGATACAAAGTTCTACATCCTTTAACAGACAAAATGTTTTCTAACTCTTCTTGCAATCTAATCCATAATCAAAACAGTAACAACTGGTGAAACTGTAGAGGCTCAGAGTGTACGCTTCCTGAAGTCAGGAGGCTTATGCTTCTTGCTTCTCCGGAGACTTCAGCATTTTCATCTGGCAGCACAGAACATCATTCATAAGAGCACATGTTACTTTCACCAGCTCTTCCACATACAGGAAAGAACACCTCAATGAGACCAGACCAAACCGTTGAGCTAAACCTGGAGGTAAACCAGACCCAACATCGAGCTAAAAGGCACCTTGCAATCTCTCCCTATCTCTACAGGGGTGTTAGGAGAATTAAGAGTTAACATTTATCATGTGTTTACAGACCTACAGATGGAAAGCACCATGTAATTACCAAGGACTATTACAAGTTAGAGGTGACAGTGAAAATATAGCTTTATGTGCTCACAGCAGCATTGTTCTACTATTTTTAAAACTTAGAAAAGGCATCCAGATTTTAGACTAGTTCAGTCTTTGGGGGTATATGGGAACAGGGAAGGAGTGGAGAGCAAGCTGGAGTGCTGTCAATAACCAATTTTAGAATATTGGGGGGAAGAGAGATGTGTATTCTTTTTTTTTTAATCACAGAAGATCCTTGTGTTCATCAGATTTCTTGCCACTGACATTTTTTAAATCTTTTTTTTAAGATTTCATTTTTTTAATCTCTACAGCCAATATAGGGCTCAACCTCACACCCCAAGATAAAGAGTCACATGCTCTACCAACTGAGCCAGTCAGGTGCCTCTCTTACCACTTACATTTTTAAATGTCTGTCTTTACTAATTGCTCTCCTCAATACTTTCCTGGCCCTGGCCAACTCCCCAAGGATGATTCTGTGATACCTCTTGTCCAAAACACTGAATTTACTGACTAGAATGAAGGGACTATCCTAGCACAATGGTCTTGCTACCAGTCTTGCAATTCCTGGGCAACAAAACCACAGGGTAAAGGCTTCTTTGTAGTCTACTACAAAGGCAAAACAATGCTGAAGAGCAACGCTTTCTAGTATCCACCCAGGTCTGAGCCCACCTAAAGCAAGGTTATTCCCCAAACTCTCAGAATGGAAAAGCATTCTCAGTGCAGACTGGTGTTCCATCATCGATGGGCCAGAATCACCCTAATTGCTTTCTCCCTGGAGTATGTAGATGGAGGATTGTTTACGGAATCTACAGCACTTTCTGAACGTTTAAGCCAGAGAGTCTGAAAGACACACCGGACCTGTGCCAAGGCATCCAGCAATGGAGTGGGTTTCTCAGATTCTAGGTACAAGTTATCTGATGGCTCTGACATCCTGCTGGGACCAGAAAGCATGCAGGACATCACTCAAATCTCCAAATAACCCAGCAGTAGGTCAGAATCACGGTGTACTCCATCTACAATACTGCTGTTACCATACTTAAATAGTTATTAAGCACCCGCTATGTTGAATGCACTCCTATAAGATGTTACAGGAGAAGATGAACCAGGTATAAATTCCAACACCAGCAGGTTTATACTGTGCTTAAAGCTTTCTTAAATGACTGCAAGCCCCAAATAGGCAAACACCATTAAAATAAATTAATGCCATGCTCCCACCTACCAAATGTATATGGAAAACAGGAGTGTTGAGAAGAATAAAATAATAAATTTTAAAATGACAAGCTTCGGGGGCACCTGGGTGGCTCAGTCGGTTGGGCGTCCAACTTCAGCTCAGGTCATGATCTCACGGTTCGTGGGTTCGAGCCCCACATCGGGCTCTGTGCTGACAGCTCAGAGCCTGGAGCCTGCTTCAGATTCTGTGTCTCCCTCTCTCTCTGACCCTCCCCCGTTCATGCTCTGTCTCTCTCTGTCTCAAAAATAAATAAACATTAAAAAAAAATAAAAAAAAATAAAATGACAAGCTTCGAACTTAAAATAAATGGTAGAATCAACAATATTTGCTAAGATAAGATAGCCAAGTGGCTGCGGGTATCATTTCATCTTAGAGCAGAAGCTCTTGGAGGCTAAAACCAAGACAAGCCTAACTTTGGGCCAGAGTCCAATACTTACTCCAAATGGAGACAGTGGAAATTAGAAATTCTATGACTAGGACAGAAGTGGTTATTAGGATGGGTATGTGAACTTCACTCTACAGATTCCAGTGAACACTTTGGTCATGAGAGCTGTATACTATGACAGAGAGCCTGCCAAGATGTGTCTATTAATGGCCACAAGATGCTTATAAATCACCAAGGACTCCAGAACAGGCCCCACTGATGAAATGCATTCAGGGTCAGCAGAGTCAGAAAGGACAGTGGTTTCATGGTGAGACCAGGTCAGGCAGCACTATACACTACAATGACAGACCTTGTGAGTGATAAAGGAAACTATTCAAGGAGTGGCAATAAATTCTACAAGACACCCCACCCTGTGTGCAGGCACAGCCAAAAGGGTTGATGGGGGGAAAAACAAGCAGTGTCTACTGAGTCAGGAAGTGGTAGACCAAAGCCCCAGTGCTGCCGTGTGAGTCTCTTCCACTCTG